TTGGTCAATTTTTTTCTATGTAAACTGAAATCATACTCCCTCCAATCAGGCCCTACATTCTAACAACCCATTCAACTATTAACTCTTCAGTGGATTAATCCATTGAAGACGTCAGCATTCTTGTGATCCAGTCACCTCTCTAGGTCCTTCTTTTCAATTTTGCTACATTGACAATCAAGCCCTTGATCCATGAATCTTTGGGGGCACTTCATAAGCAAACCATAACAGCTTCTTTGCTCTTTCCGCTGCCTGGAATGCCACTTCTTCATACAGTATAACCCAGAATTCATCCTTCTGCCATCTTGCAGGTGTGACCTCAAAAATAACTTCCTTAAAGAAGCCCTTCCCAGAATGATCTCCTCATGTACTGGGTTGAACGTGGTCCCTCAAAAGTTCATGTGCACCTAGAACCTGTGAACGTGACCTTATTCACAGTTGTGATCAAGGTATAATGAGGTCACACTGGATGAAGGTGAGATCTAAATCTAGTATGAGTCCTGTCTATAAGAAGAGGGAAATTTGGACACAGGACACAGAGGTAACATGTGACCACAGAGGCAGAGATGGAAGTGATATATCTACAACCCTGAAGAAGGTTAGGATCACTGGCAATTATCAGAAGCTACGAAGTATAGAAACATCTTCTCTTAAGAGTCCTCAGAGAGAGCAGAGCCTGCCTGACTCTTTGATTTCACACTTCCAGTCTTCACAAGTGGACAATGATACAGTTCTGCTGCTTTAAGCTACCCAGTTTAGGATAACTTGTTACAGCAGCTCTGGGGAACTAATACACCATGTTTTCATCCTTTCCTGTATATGGTAGATTAACTAATGGTCAACTTACAACACCTAGCTGAGCTGAATCAGTGTGATTCTGGGTGTGAAAGGTCTACCTGAAAATTGTTGCCAATAGTATAAAAACAGAAATGGAAGGGAAGATGCTGTGCTGTTGATCTTCTTGGAGAAACTTGTCTAGGTGGTTTTCCTGACATGAACTCAGCTCTTTTCATCAACAGAGGAGCTCAGGTCCTTGCTATCACTGAGGATGGCTGTGGTTCTTTCAGGAGTTCTAATCCTTACCTTGAGTGTTGCTTCCTGGCTCCAGTGCAGATCCCTTAGCCTGCTGGCACAGATCCTTCACCCCATTGGTGCACACTTTCTAGCTTCCACTGCCTCGGCCCTCAAGGCTCTCAAGGTTCCTGGGGTAAGGACAGTGAGAGGATGGAGAAATAAAGATAAGAGACAATATACAGAAAACTGAGATCAGGTTGCACCCTCTCTTTGGATGGGAGGAAAGGAACTGCTCAATTACCATAGAGTGTTTGTTTATACATTTGGCAGGCTGTTGTCACGTGACACCCACTTTACCTAGCAACCTATTGCTTGGATTGTCTTGGGGCTTGGTGTTCTCCAGACTAAAGCAATTTGTTCCCCTGGATCGCCTCAGGTTTGCTTCACCCCCACATGTGTGATCAATTTTCAGATTCAGCAATTCCCTACATTCCACCACTGACCTTTGGGCCTTCCAAGTGCAGATCTTTGATATTAACAGGCATGTGACATTAGTGTGAGATCTAGGCCTCCAGTTAGAATTGTGCAGGACATTGCCATGGGATCCAGGCCCTCAACTGGATTCTTTGGGTCTCTAGTGTGTGGACAGATCTCCCTCACTCTTTTGCATTTGACTCTTTGGGTGAATATTATAAAATAATCCTATAAATTGTGTGTCCTGTATTAAATCTTTCCCCTTGTAAACACTGACTACAGCACTGTACTTTTCTTTCTTAGATCTTACCAGCTAATTATTACATGTGCATGATGCAGTAAGAGATTAGTCTGGCATTTTTCGTAGTGGTCTTCTAAAAAGAGACTATCACAATTCCAGAACAATATCTCAAATGTGAGTGATTTTGAAGGGAAGATAATTTTGAGAGAGCCTGGCCCTAAAATCAGAGCATGTCAGCAGCCAACTATGCCAGATTCACAAAGCTGACCTTGGCTCTATGCTGCAGGATTTTTCTACTGTGAGAATTATCCAAGCTGTTTAATTTTTTTACAGCAACAGATTGCCAGAATACTAAGGTGGAAGACAGAAACACTATTCAGGGAAAGATGTGGTGGCACACACTTATAATCCCAGAACTCTGAGAGGCTGAGGCAGAAAGAGCAAGAGCTCAAACCCAGCCTAGATGACTTAGCAAGACCCTGTCTCAAATTTTAAGATAGATAAGTGAAAATTTAAAAAGGTCTGCAGATGTAGCTGAGTGCTAAAGCCCTGGGTTTAATCCTTCATACTATGGAAGGAAGGAAGGAAGGAGGGAAAGAAGGAAGGAAGGAAGGAAGGAAGGAAGGAAGGAAGGAAGGAAGGAAGGAAGGAAAGGGGACAGGGAGGGAAGGAAAAGGAGGAAGGGTAGGAGGGAGGGAGGGAGGGAAGGAAGGAAGGCAAATGGGGGGGAGGGGGGAAGGAAGGGAGGAAGTTAGTTTAAAAGTTAGTTGGAAATTAGTTGGTTTTGTTCTCCGCTCTTGCCTCCTGGGGAACTTGCTCACGTAACTACAATCTCTGAGTTCCAGGTTCCTCAGTTGTAAAACAAAGTGACAGGACTAGATAGTTTCTACAGTCCCTGGCTCTAACCTTCTGTGGCTGCATGATGCAGATGTGGAGCATACTAAAAAGTTGATACTCCTGGTGTTCCACATCTGTGGGTTCCATATCTGTGGATTCAACCAAGCACAGAAATATAATTTTTTAAAAACTGCATCTGAGGGGAAAAGGAACCCTTCTGTGTTGTTCATGGGAATGTAAACTACTACAGCCACTATGGAAATCAGTATGGAGATTCCTTAAAAAACTAACACTACAAATTCCATTTGACCCAGTGATGGAGACCACTATGAAACAGTCCTGAGCAGGATTTAAATTAATCAGTTGGCTTTTCATGTTCATTTGTGAATCTGTCCAAGGCAGACTCATAGTAAGTGAACCTCTGTGAGTCACTAATCCCTACTAAAACCTGTAATGGTGGATGAAGCTGGAAAGCCTTAAAGGATAAAACAAGATCACAGCTAAAGACACCTAGATCCAATCTCAACTAGATAAAGATTGTAGCCTCAGGCATCTTACTCCTGAGAGGATTAACTTAATCCTTATTAAGGATTAATTTACTACTTTACTTGGAGAAGTCCCTAAGTGATTCTGCCCTTCTTGAGTGCTCCCCTCCCTTCTTCCAATAACTAAATAAATATGGGTCACCCAGAGAAGGTCTTGGTCTTAGCCCCAAGAGAATCTTGAATTCTGTGAGAGGGCTTTGATCCTCCTGGAGCCCTGAAACCATTCCATTTCCCTCTTTTTATTTAGCCTTTGCTGTACACTCATTCAGATTTCAGACCTGATCAGCCTGCAATAACTAAGGGATATTATTAATCTGATAACCTAGCTATTCCCATTTTAAGTATGTTCCCAAAAGAGTTAAAGACATTATTTCACAGTGATACATACATACCCATGTCTATAGCAGCACAATTTGCAACAGTGAACTCTTTGAAGCAGACTGTACATCCATCAACAGATGAACAGATAAAAAAATGTGTATGTACACAATGGAGTACTACTCAGTCATATAGAAGAATAAATTTGAGCCATTTGCAGGAAAACAGATGCTCCTTGAGACCATAATGTTAAGTGAAGTAAAGCAGAAACAGAAAGTTAAATATTACCTGGTTTCTCTCACATGAGAAACCCAAAATATAAAGAGCAAAATAAAAGATAGATAATGGGAAATAGATACATCTTTCTCAAATTGGATGGGGATTAAGAGATGGAGGGAAAAGGGTAGGAGGGGGAAGAGGATGAAAAAGAATTGAGATGTGTTATGTACAAGTGCCAAGTTCCCACAAGGAATGTAATTGTTATGTATTGCCAATATTTGCTACTTAAAAATAAAAAATCCAAAAAAACAAAAAAATCACATCTGTACTGACCATGTACAAACTTTCTTCTTGCCACTACTCCCCAAACAGTGAAGTAGCACTCCATTGGATTAGGTCTGATAAGGAATCTAGAAATGATTTAGGGTATGGAAGGGAGGTATAGGCTATATGCAGTTATTATATCATTTTGTGTACAGAATTTCCGGTGGACATTGATGGATTTTGTAGATCCTGGGACACAACAATTATTTAATTCTCAATCATTCATCACTGCTAGCCTTGCTGCATGAACAGCATCTGCATCGGAGAAGAACATTACCTGGAGGAACAGGTGACCCAAGTGAGTACTACACCAAGGATTCTGCCTTGAACTCTGCAACCCCCAGATCTGCCCCAGCATTGTTTTACTTGCTAATGGAATACAGTAGACGTTTCAAGGGCTGTAACTTTTAAAAACCTTTTCAAGTGTGCAAGCTGGCACTTCCGGTCTCTGATCTAACCCATGATTCTCAAGGCCTCTTCCGGCTCTCAAGGGCAAAGATCTGAGACTTCAAAGCCGTTGATTGCTGAGCTAGTGAGGGCCTTGAGCTGAGTGTAGGTCACTGGGCCATCTCAGGAGGCGTGCCTTTCACAGCATTTCTCCTCGTGACCTTTCTGTGCGTGGGGTGTGGAGGAGGGAATGGTGCCCTCTGCCTCCCTCAGGATAGGCTCTAACATATGCCATACTGGGGCCCCCCGGGGGGTCACTGAATGACAAGTCCCTATTTTCCATCTACGAAATAGGAATCCTAACGGGCAAATTTGGAAAAATGTTCACAATTGAGCAACAAGTGTCATTTTCCATAGCTCTCAGAAGGACTAAGGAATGATAAACCTCAGCACACTGAGGTTCGCTGACAGCCAGTCAAACGAGGGCGGGCGAGAAACACCACGAACCGAAGGGACACCGCAGTCACATTGCACATCCAGTCCGCGGAGCTGCGTGGAGCGGACCGCTCCGCACTCAGTGTCAATCACCCGGTCCGGCCCCGCCCTGCAAAAGACACGCCCCCTCGGCGTGCGCGCTCCCGCCGCCAACGCGCGCGCTCCGGACGCGGGCTGTGACGCGGACGCCGGTGGGCCGCGCTCAGTGAGGCTCCCGGAAAGGAGCGGAGCCTCCAGGAAGCCGGGTTCTCTCAGCCGCTGGCGCCGCCGCTTCTGCGCCCTCCCCGGCCGTTATGGAGCCCGCTCGCGGCCCCCCGTTCCCGGGAGCCCCGGCCTGCCGAGCAGGTGAGGCGCAGGAAGGCGCGGACCAG